GTGCCAATCCCATTTTAGGAAGGGATAATGTATGATCCTTAATAGTTGTGTGTGTCAATGATTGAATAACTCTCGCTCAATAATGTATCGCCTAGATGTACATCCACGATAATCGCCTAAGGTGATATCGATATCCTCGAAATAATTTATCAGTATTGGTATAACCTGAATCACCCAAGAAATATCTACTGCGAGATACTTCAAACTGTCACTCTCCCACCGCCTATCTAAGTACACGCATGTCCCCAGCTCCCTCCCATCCATAGGTTACATATACAAACTATCGATCAAAGGACACCACAGTCATTACATTCTGCAAAGTAAATCCCTCACAATTACAATAACAATTTTGTAGTTCAACTAGAGTAGCATGATGATATTTACAAATTAAATTGGACAATAAGACATGAGTTATTATGAAAATAATTAACTTACCAATATAAGACCTACGAAGACATAAACATGATTATTTGCTTGACAGAGCAACTCTACTGGTCAATTTCTCTAAACACATTAACCGAGCAGTATTATGATAGTCACATTATTTAAGAATGAAATGTATAATTAAAAAATCAAAAATTAAGATAACAAAAAGGTGAAAAAATTCGCACAAAAATCAATCTTCTATCTACACCATATGGGATTCATCACAAGAAAAAAAGGACGAAAACAGGCATATGATGCGTATGCAGGCTATCCAAACCAGGAAAAAAAAGTTACTTGTACGTCGAGAGCAACCAGCTCGCGAGTGCGAACAAAGACGTACCAGCACACCAGAGAGGAAGATGACTTAGAAAGGATGAGGCAGCAGCCTGGATTGATGCCTCCTTTCGTTTTGGCAAATAAGAGTGAACGCAAAGCTTCATGACACAGGCGTCGCGGGTAACACTTCTACGAACTATAAATAATGTTAAATCCGTTGAACCGGTGGATTTAGTAAATCCCATATTAATGTCATAAATCCTTAAATCCAGAATTTACCGTTCGTTAAGATTTAACGTGCGCATAAAAATCGTTTGGCAGGATTTAGCATAAATCCCGCTTAAATCCAGTTGTAAATGTGATACAAAACAGCCCTTTATGATCCAAAGGAGGAGACCAAGGATTTATTCCACCGTGTGATTTAGCAAGCACTCAAATCTTATTTGGAAGGTTTTAAGCGCTTAAACCATGTTAAAAATCATCACTTTGTTTAATGTAATTAAAATCTATATTGCCAACCAAATGAGCCCTTAGATCTATTGTATGTTCTTAAATCTCTAATGATACTAATACTAATTCAAAGTTCAATATAAATGATACAATTACAAAACACGAAAACATATGTAATCAAGATACTAGAAATCAAGAAATAATACACAACTTCTATTAAATGTACTTCTGATTAATATAATAATATATTCTTGCTCATGATAGAAGGACATGACATTTGCGCACTGTGAAACAGTGAGCTATGTAAGAATATTGAAAGATAAAATTTATGAGAATCCTTGAGGAAAATTTTCTTCCAAATACTGAAGCTAAGGAAAAATTCAAAGCAACTGAAAGAGTAGAAGTTCAAATTAGTAAATCTTCTAAGATAATATCAGCATAGATTCATCAAATAGAGCTTGTCGTGATGGTGAGAATTCAATGTGATTGAAGCTGTGAGGATTTTTAGGCTGTTAAATTTGCTAGTTAATATTTACCGACTGTTAAAACTGTAGCTAATCTATTAGCTTTCCTATGTTTAAAGGTTTATCCATATTCTTCATAATTCATTGGAAGATTGTCTTGACTTGATGTCCATAACAAAGAATAGTCTGTTCAATTTATCCCTACTTCAAGAACAATGTCACAATATTTAAACTTCTTAGTTGCCAACATAACATCAAATCCAATAAACCTTATTAGTGAATATATTTAATGAACATTTATATCTAATAAAATATAGTATATATAATTTACATCCAATCTCTCTTTTCAACTTTTATTCAGTACTTTAATATTTTTTTCCTTCATAGTAGAAATTAAATGAGGAATTTTCAAATTACAAAAATATTTATTCAGTGCATTAAATCAAATTATAAAAAAAAAATTAGTTCAATACAAAAAAGACAAGAATCATAGAGAAAGCATAAATTAAATGACAAATTATTAAATATGTCTATGATATATTTAAATCAAATATAGCAGCTGGAGAAGAGGATAAAGAAGCATAAGTGTTACTTAAATATAGCCATCAGGAAATTTGATAAAGTAGAAGGGTTATTTATCTCGAACTCTATTAAGTAAACTTATCTCAAACAAGCGCATATGCAGCTACAGCTAGGCTGTGAATTCTCTACAAGGACGAAATAGCAACGTGAGAAGGAGATTAGTTCAATACAAGAAAGAAAGAAATCTTAGAGAACATAAATTAAATGACAAATTTTAAAATATTTCTATGATACTCCATTCATTCAATAACTCTAGAATGTCATCAACCTTCTCATTCCTAATCTATTCAAGCAAGCATAATTCTTAAGTCCTTATCAGATTATCAAATGAAAGCTTAACTTTTGTCGTACATGGATATGAAGCTTACTAGAACAAATATAAATTTTGTATAAATATAGATTATTTATTCTTTTATTATACTTGAATTAAGATAAATTAAAATAATATATTATTTGTACAAAAAATGCATGATAAACATGAATTATGCTTGTAAATTAAATCATTATCGGAGGATCGATCTACTGGTAATGTCGTCAAATTTTCAATGAATGTGTGAGCTGGTTCAAGCATTGGAATATTTTCGTCAATTTTTGTAACCATTTTTTCATCATAAATCAATTATAATCATTTCCTAGAAAGTTAGCATTTATAATAGAGAAACCAAAACAAATCCTCTATGTAGTTTTATAATTTAATTAATATCATCGTTAATTTTAGTGATCAAATGTTTTGACTACCAGAGAAAATTATTAAATGTTGGAGAGAAAAAATTTTCAATATTATTTTATTGATTAATCCTTATACTTATATATGTTTTCAAATTACAAAGTTTATCGTATTAAATTGTTGAATAAATTCTCACTCCTAAACAATTTAAATAATGTTAAATCCAAGCATTATATTTACAATAAGCTTATGATTGAGAGTAATAGTACATTAATGCTAAGTTCTAATTGCAAGTCCTAGGTGGTTCATGAGTTGTTTTCACTCGCTTACACCCCTAACTCTATTTATATATATTTGTCTATTTTATAAAAAATTGATTAAGAAAAAATACTGAATGCCAAAGTTAGACTCAGAAAGAAGCAGCTTCATGAAAAATCTTGAAATTCCAACCGAGAAGACAATGGAACAGCCATCATAGCTACAGTTAAAAGGCCTAGCAAAGCCTGGCACGTTAATATTCCCCTGCATTCACAAAATTATCTCTTTTTAAAGTATTTGTAAGTATAAGCATTAAAATATTATTGGCTCTAAAATACGTGTGAAATGATTTGCGTCTCAATATTCGGATTTTTTTTTTCATATTATGCATTTATAAAAGTTCTAAACACTGAGAGTTAAGCAAGAGACAAAAGAGACCAAAAATCTTAATCGCATGCAAAATGATTCCCAATAGCAAATATCATACCGATTTTTTATGAAAATATTTGGCAATTTTGAGAATTAAAAACTTAGATCAGAATTCAACTGGATCAGATATTAAGGATTTGGATCTTCATCGGATATCTATAAAAAATTAAAAATAAAAAATAAAAAAGAAAAAGAAAAAATAGTCAAATAATTTATAGTGCATGATTTACAAGCTTTATTTCATGATAAAACATCAACAGCCAACATTTTCAGTCAATTAATTCGGGAAAAGAAAAAAAACTTTTGTGATCAAAGACACAGAAATGCTCTATAAGAAATGTGTAAACTGTTTAAAATGCCTCCAAAAAAATCAAGAAACAATAGCCTCAAAATTTCAATCAGGGTGGTATATTTAATCACAAAATTTAATTATGTTCTCCAAGAATAAGTCATTTATACAGAAAGAAAGAGCTCTAAAAAACCACCAATATTCTTTCCACCATACATTTTCTACATGAAATAAAAAATTATTGACAACATTATAAAGAACACGAGATAATATGATATGTAAAAGCTAGCATCATAAAACCCTCATCTCTGCACATGAATAACATGTATAGTATTAAAATAGGAACGTAACTAAGTAATCTTAATCAAAGAAAGTTTTAATCTATCCTAGCTACCTTATTCTAATTCAGATCATTACCAAAAAAGTAAGCAACATGAAAAAACACATGAAGCTATTGATCAAATTCATTATGTTCAGTTATTGATTGAAATATTTTCCAAGTTATGATAGAACCCTTCTATGATGAATAAAAGCACAATCCTCAATGATCATGAAATCCAAAATTAACCCGAATTCATATTTTTCACATCATATTGACGGATCGGGTCAATTTTTTTACATGCCTAGGGCAAATAAAAAATTTATGACAAGAAACATAATGCTACTTATGTTATATATGAGAGAAAAATAAAAACAAAACAACTCTAATATATTACATAAGTAAACTAGAAATAAAATAAGAAAAAAAAAACATATAATTATTCACTGTCATGCCATAGATTTATTTATAAAATACTTCTACACATTATATCCATGCAAAGTATATATTTAAAGTATACTAATGAAAAGAAATTTTTATATTGACATTAATTTTACAATCAGCTAAACACAAGAACACTTAGAAATCTCAGATTTTTGTAGGTGACGTGAGCATCTTAGTTTAACCTATTAACTAACTAGCTTTCTTTTACTATCAAAATAAAAGAAATGATTAAATAAATTTCAGCATATCAAATTCAAATTTCACAAGGTCCAAACCAATCTAACAAGGTAATTTTAATATTTAGAAATGTATTTCATAAAGCTAGAAAGTTCTCTTATTTCAGTTAAAACTTAAACCACTGCTCCAATACATCAAGCAAAATCAACAAAGCCCAGTTAGAAAAGTTGGATCTCGTTCACATGTACAGTTACTGAATTAACACCCAAAATTTATATATTAATAAAACTATCTGTTAATAACCTTCATTTATACGACAACCCAAATCTCAAAGAGCATGACTATGTTCCATTAACTACTATGTTCCATTAACCCGTCAACCAGTCAGTTTAAAGAAATTTGATTGTTGCATAATTTTTTGCAAAATAAATCCATTAGGTTCAATAACTTAAATGAAATTGGGATTATATTAACATATCTCCGAAAGTAATTGTAATTTATAGCCAAATCATGAGTGTTAAGAGTTAATAGATAGTATATGAGTCCTTAAGTCTTGTTTCTATAAATAGTATATTTTTTAAGGAATTAAATATGAGGAAATGAAATGTTGCAAGCCTCTCTTCAGTTAAGTTTACTGTCTCTTTCTATCCCGTACTCAATTTCTAAACTGTCGACAATCTAGAATCTATTATTTATTGTAAACCCAATAATGAGTTTGCAACAAAATCATAATAATCAAATTTAAAAAGGGTGCCATCTCTAAATTGTAAGCACAAACAGTTTGTAGAAATTTAATTTAACATTAGAAGTGCATTAAAATGTTATTACAACATAAAACATACAACGAAGTATATTATAAGGAGCTGTTTGTAGAAAATAAAGTTATCTTCAAATAGCAAAATGAAGTGTGAAGTATAAATTAATCAGATAATTTAAAATAATGTCCAAACAATTTACTGCGATGAAACAGAGAGGAAAATTTTAATCCTACTGTATAACTCTTATAGTAACAAGAACATTGAAGAAAGAGCTTCAATTTTTACTAATTTGGAAATTCAATGCTTAAAGACCAATTGACACATGGACAGTTACAGCTTTAAAATTATTTTGAATAGCATTCCTAGAAATGAATCTGAATATTACAAAATTAAAAGTGAAAAGACCTTACCTAGAAATAAATCTGAAGGATTTTGGATCAAAATTATAACAAGAAAGAAAGAGCCTTGTCTTTTCGAAATGAGTGCTGGGAATAACTTGAATTAGAACCTGGGCAGAAGTCCTATACAAAGATTAAATACTGAATAATTGTGCATGAGATTTTACGAATAAAAATTAATTCATATAAGATATTCTCAATAGATTCAATGATTTATACATCACAACATGTGAGTTGAAATAAGCTTATTATAGTGCTTCAAAATAATCATGCACTGGATCAATTATTTAAGAAAAATTAACTTCTAAGGATCATGCAACAAAATAATCATTATATAGTAAGTAATATAGTAGCATTTGAAAGACCTTCTGAATAAGATCTAGTTAAAGCAATATAAATTAAAAAAGTATTTAAGTTTCATCAATGCACTGGATCACATTTTAGCTTGAATTTCATATCTTTGAAGATGTACCTGAGATTCCTTTGGATTTGACAATCTTAGATAACCCATCACTTAACCCTCTTGCAAAGCCTTGCTGAGTTTGAATGCAAAACCTTCGTAGCATCCATCAAACAAATAGCAATATCAGCAATAAATTAAGCAAAATCAATCAAGATAAATCAAAGTGTTATACTTCACAACATACTTAGGTCCAACAATGTTAGAGTAGTATTTCTTAAAGAACTCATAAAAAGAACACTTAAATGCACGTTTACGACTATAACCAAGTAGAGTCGGTGCCCAACCCTTGAAGAAACCTTTCACAACCTGCTCTCTAAGAAGGGCATCAAAACCTGATGATTTATATGATGCCATCATTTTAGCTTGAATTCTTTAGAAACCTTTCAAAACCTGATGATTTACAAAATATCAATATCTCGGATGATCTTATTTAATATTCATTTGTAAGCAAAAGTATGTTTTGATCAAACATCTCACAGTGATTAGAGAAGAAGTATGATGATATAAGTGGTGCAGCATACAAATCAAGTTGCCACTTAGAAGCACTTGAAAATGACTCGTAAGAAAATAATGCTTAAAAGAAAATAAAAAAGTTAAACAATGCCTAGTTGGGATTATGAAAAACCTTAAAGTTAGTCATAGCAGGAGAGGTGGTATAATAGTAGTTGGATTGCAAACTGGAATATATGGGATGATGGTTAAAAACATTAAAGTTTGGCTTACTAATAGTTCATCAACACCATGCATATCCCAACCCAAGGTGGACTTAGATTATCATATGGTATTAATAAGTTGAAAGTGATTTGTTGCTAAAAGATGACATGCTAGGAAGGATAACATTAGTTGCATTTAAAAAAAAAAAGTTATCACTGCTACTCTCTCTATTTCAGTTGGTTGGCTCCGCAATGCACAAAATGCCAATAAATAATATCCTAAATCAATAAAGCAATTAAACCAAAATATACATGTTTTTTTGGTATCTAAACGAAATTGAAGAAACTAACATACAGAATTAGATACCAATATATATGTAAATATTGAACAGTTTGGTAGCAATTCAACAAGAGTTATAAGAAATACAAAAAAAAAATTAATGTATAGCAAACCAAAAAAATAACTTTATACCTGCATGATGACAAGGGTCGGTAAAAAAAAATGATGGCAAGGGTCGGTCGTGAAGAAGATGCATAAAATTTTGTACTTGCATTTTTTTTCCTTGAATTTTCTCATATCATTTTCAAATTTTTTTATAATGGTTTGGAAATTGATTTGTAGAATTATTGCAGTGCAATGATGATCAACTATTTCATATACTACACCTGGTTATGGGTTTTCTTTTGTACTTTCTAAGTTATGTTTGTTACTTTGGAATATGTTTAAATTGTTTAGATTTTCTCCACTACATTTCTCAGCATGTAATGTTGTATAAAAAAAATTTTCCGGTTTCATAGGTTCTACTATTGTAGTTATCCTTTTTAGATAATGAAATTGTGTTATGCCCCTAAATGTCTAACAACAACATCAAGCCTTTTCTCCCACTATGTGGGGTCGGCTACATGAATCCTTCGTCTCCATCGTCTCTAGTTAAAAATCAAAATGGTCCTACCCATAAAAAAATTAAGCCTCTAATAATATGATCTCTTGATTAAAAAAATATTTGATATTGAATATTTATGGCCATGTGGGTGTTAACATTAATAAAGATTGTTCTCCAAATTAAAAACCTAACTTCTCTGATAAATTTCTATATTACCTATAAGAAATATTACCTTAATAAAAAATTATGTCAAAGAAAGGTATCCCAAACGAACCCTTAATCTATTGATTGGAAGCTGAGTTATAATAAAGTAATCACACATTTGAGAATTATAATGTATGTGTAGATGCTTAATTGAATTAAAATAAATCGAACTAAAAAAACTTCCAATAAGAAAATAAATGCTTATCAAGCCAAAAAACTAAACTGCACATTGAGATGTTGGATGTATCCGGCGAGCAAAACATTGATCTTATTAATTTTATGAATAATAATGGATATTTTGTTAAAGTTTTTTAACGAACACTCAGGATGATATATCGGAAGATTCACAATCTAAATTTTAATATTTGTATATATTTAATAGTAGTGTTGTTATGTGGTGTTTTGAGGATGTTAATTGAGGTTGAGTTATGATGTAGTGGTTAATCAAAAACTTGGCAAATAGAGATGGCTAAGAGCAAAAGGGATGGATGAGTATAAAGAGAAGAAAACTAATGGTTCTTGAAACCTCAACAGAGAACCATAATAAAACATAAATAAGACTCTCACGAAGGAACTTCACAGAGCATTGAAGACTCAAATAACTAAAAGGATAAAGAAAACCATAAAGCTAACACACATACACTTAAACAAAGCAACAAATAATTGTGTTAATCCCACAATTGAATTCATCTTACATGACACTTGCTTATATGAAGAATAATCTTGACTAATTCTAAGGGAGGACAGTCATAGTTTAATATAGAATGGTTTGGACTAAATAAAAAAAGCATCACAAAAAATCTTATATGAGATGGGTGCAAGTAATATAAAAAAATAAAAGAAATAGGTAACATAAAATAAGCAAGTATTAAAAATTAATGGTGTTCATAAATCAATAGTTAATCAATTTAAATTAAAAATGCCTGATAGCATGCAATGTGAATGATAAAATTAGTAAAACAATTTAACTCATGCTCTTAAAGTTTAATAAATTTACACAATCACTATAAATAAGAATGTGAGATACCTTAGAATGTAAGTAATACAAATTAACCAAGAATTCGTGCAAATGGTGTTTATAAATCAATGTTAACCAATTATATGATTTAACAAATGATAAATTGTTTATAATAATTAATTTACCTTGAATGATATGTAGGGCAAGAGGAATTTCGAAAAATAGCAGGGATCAATGAGAAGAAGTGCAGAACCAAATCGTGCGTTGGAGTCAATGCATAGGGGAAGTTGCACCATAGGATATTAGGTACCCAAAGTGCAAACAAGAATTATGAATAAATAATAAAAAAAAAGCACAGTGAAATAAAAAAAATGCATAGAAAGAAAATAATATCTCAATTATCAAAGTGTTGAACTTTGTAAAATTCTTGCATTGAATAGAGCCAATTCTTGCATTCCAAGCAATAGAATATCAAACTTTTTAAAAGAGAACTAAATTCATTTACAAGCATTGAATAATCCAAATGAAAAAAAAAAAAAAAAAATATCAAATGAAAACTTACAGCTACTCAAAGCTCGAAATTATAAGCATCAATGACCTAGAAGAGCTTTTCTTTGATAACATCCTACTGTATTTGATTTATTGTAGGTTGGAAGGCCCTTTGTACTGAATATTTCCTTAATTAAACTTAATTCAAAGGTTTGAAGAGCTCAGCTATTGTCGGTTTAGCCAATTACAATGAATACAGAATCTGAGAATAATGACTTGAACCATCAAGTTGTCGGTGTAAGTATTAAAAATAGAAATTTGTACTCTTTCAAGAATCTATCACTATCTAATCTACTGAAATTTTGTTTATCTAATTAGTACATGGAGACTAAGATCAATATATTCTAATCAAAGTTTCTCCTCATGGATGTTAAGGCATTCAGAGGAGCAAAATGTCTGTGTAGGAGAGAAGCTGCTTCCTACAATTCCAGTCCTTGATTTTGGTTTCGGCTCGCGCCAACATTGTTCTATATGAAGTTCTCAGCGATTCCTCATGACAGCCATCAAAATCTTTCCGAAAAATGTGCATAACTTATTTTCCTCCATAAGTGAGACAAGTCTAATCCACATTATGATAATTTTTTGTGGCGGGTATTTGCATTTCATGCAGATATGTGTTGATACAAAGAAGAAGATAAACAAGAATTGTGACATTTGGTTGAAGATACAATTAACGACGGATATTCTTTTAAAGTTTTAGAATGAATAATCAGAATGATATATCGGAAGATTCACAACTGACACTTAAAATCCTCTAACTATACACATCTCAACAAAATAAGCAAGTTGTTTTAAGATTTTTTTTTAAAGAAAAGAGAAAATAAACAGCTCTTGATTCTCAAAGTAAGAATGAAAATCTCATCAACATTCCTTTAACAAATCTCATTATCCTCTCTATCAACATGCAAGAGACAGGCAATTTGAGTTAAAATTTAAAACAGCCATTAGATTTGAACATTGAGGGAGATAAATCCCTAACTTGTTTGTTCACAAAGGAAAGAAGAAGGAAATTAATGGAAGGGAATAAGAGAAAGAACGAAGACAAACTACCTACAGCAAAACTGGCGGCTAGGGTAAAGGCATTATTGGATGTAGGGGAAGAATTCTTAGGATTCGAGTGAAGAAGCGAGGCACGACTTCCATTCCCTTGAGTGTTCAACCGGTCTTCCTAGGTCATGCAAACGAGAGAGACGAACTGGGATTTCCGATCAGAGAGGGACGGAGTGGGGTATGGCCATTTTATCGTTGTTGTTCGATTTCTTTGCTTTTCATCTTCTAAATTTCGTCGTTGCTGGTCGACTTCTTTGCTTCGCGAGAGGTAGAGTTTTGCGAGTCGCTTCTTCGGCTCCTTCGTTGTTGACTTTGCTCCTTCGACCACGTTCCCTTTCTGTCGGATCGGAAGTCACGACATTTTAATCGGAAGCAACTACGGGTGATCGCTCGCTGTGAAGGTAACTATCTTTCGTCCTTTCGCGCACTTCTTCGGCCAAATCCCGTAAATCCGCTAAAATTTCAGGATTCAATAAATCCTGGATTTACGGTCCAGAGAAGGAGCCGTAGGAGTTATTCCGCCGTGAGGAGATTTAGCAGGCGATCAAATCCCGTTTGGCAGGATTTGGCATAAATCCTACTCAAAATCGGCATAAATCCAGCATCCAAACAACCCCTAAAGCTCTCTAACCCTTCCGGTTACTATAAGATGAATAATGTAAATGAGAATCATGAGATTGAGAAAGAGAGAGAGAGAGAGAGAGAGAGAGAGAGAGAGAGAGAGAGAGAGAGAGAGAGAGATTTACCTTCTTCAGCATCGGGAGCCGTTCGCCTGAACGGGAAGAGTCTTCCGAGGCCACGAGACGATCTCTTGAGCAAGTTGAGTTAATAGAAAGTAGAGAAGGGAGTCCAGAGGAAGGAAAAGGAAATAAACTAGAAAATTAGATTAGGGCTTTATTTATAGAGAGTGCGGAAGGGTTAACGGACTGAAAAATAAATTAGAAAAGATTCGAATTAAAATCCGGATGAATGAAGACACAATAGCGTCCAAAAACTAAGTTACCGTTATGCATAACGTAATTTAAATTTTTATTCAAAGTTAATTCAAAATTAAAAAGAAATATTTGTATATATTTAATTTAAGTATAAAATAGATGAATTATGTATTTTCATTTTTAAAATTATTTCAATTTTTTACATATAATAGTATATTTTATAAAAATGCATTTTAAACTTGTTTTATTTTTATTTGAAAAAGTTTTAAATGAAATTTTATTTTATTTCATCAATTAACCAATATTTTTTTATTAAATAAAATTTTTGGCATACTAGCTCGGCAAAGTTCTTTGGGCACACTCTCACCAAAATGATAACCTTCATCAAAAGGTACACATAATTGATACACACCGGTACCCACCTGTACACACAGGTACACACTAGTACCCATAGGTGCACACCGGTACACACTGGTACAGAGTATAGAAAAACCCTAACTTGACATTTGCAGAATGAATAAAACTAACATATCTCGTAGAAAAAAAAACTAACATATCTCGTGAAAAGGAACTTCTTGTCCTCGTAATAAAAAATTGAGCTTAGTCATGACTAGTGTTTCTGCAACAAAAATCTAGAGCAAACTGAAGGAGCTTCGGACGAAGATGAAAAGTGCCTTTAACAAGAGATACTAAAATGCCCCCGTCGATTTTGAAAAACTAAAACGTCTCGATCGATTTTGAAAAATTGAAACGCCTTAATAAAAAGTAACTTTTCGCGTTTGGTCTAGGTCAATCATGGAGCCACGCGGGATTGTCGAGCCATAAGTGATTACATTTTATTAGAGTCTGGACGTAGAGCTACGCGTGGAGTCCACACCGAATAATTTTTCGATCAAATGACATCACAGAAGAAACAAAACATGCTTTCTTTAATCGCAATTTGAAATGTATTGCTGAAATCAACTCAAGGCGTATTTGAGATGGCTACAACTCTCAGTTCATAAAAAGTTACTTTTTAAAATCGTTACACAAAAATCATAATATTTTACTTTGATAGTATAACTTTCAATCTCCTATTCTAACTAAAGTACCTTAATACTTTTATATTGAGATGTCTGAAAATTATTTAACTACCAAAACTTTTTAAAATGTATATAATAAACTAATAATATTAAATTAAACTTTTAATTAATTTCAACAAATATTATTTTACTTTTAAATATCATAATACTAATAATTTTTTTAAGAATATACTATCATAATTAAAATTAATCTGAAAAAAAAAAAATCTTTTAAATTACTTTATAAAAAATTATATTTCTGGAAAAATAATAATATATTTTGGTAAAAAATTTTAGATTGAATTTAAAAAGGTATGCAATTACTTATCATGAAAAAAATTCTATATCTCTAAATTACAATTTCAATGTAAGGAAATTCATAATAAAAATTATTTGAAATCCATAATAAATTGTTACATATTAATTGGATAAGTTTAACTACTATAATATCTAATGTTGAGTTTAAAAAATATTGAATATATTATAAAATTTACAACAATGAGAAAGCCTAATCTTTCTGGCCATTCAAGGGATTAAGTTTTACAACTTCAAACTAAAACCACGAGCTCATCAATAACTGACAAATGGTAGCTAGATACATTAGGAACTGTATATACTACCTCAACGCGTTCGTCATAATCAATACAAATTCTGCACAGTATTCTAAAATTTTTAACATATATTAAAAAAAATGCCATATACTTCATATTTATATTAAAACAAACTTAGTTCTCTTAGCACATAAGATTATCAGAATGGGGAGTGTAGAGATGGATGACCAGATAAATTTCTAGGTGTTTGATGTTGAACTGGGAGAGTAAAGCTGTGAAACTGGATGACTAGTTACAGACTAGAAGAATATGGTAGTCAAAAAGGTTGGACATATACTTCTGGCTTTGTTAGATATTCGAGACCTTGTAGTGATGGAAATCTTCTCAAGTTTGACTAGGATGGGATGAGCCGGTGTCCAAGTCTATATAATCTTAGAAATTCATTTCTTCCAATCAGTTGAGGAAATCACAAACATCAAAAAGCATGACACTATAAGAAGTTATTACATGCAAAGTCCAGAAGTAACTTCGTCTAGACTCCAATCCTTTATTGACATGTATTTTTTTGTAGCCATGTGAATTATTTTAAGAATGCATGACCCGACGACCCGACCCAACTATTTTATATGACGCTCATTTTTTTTTTTAAACGCCCATGACTCTCGTTCCTGAAATTTAGGATTTTCACGGAATAAACTTTTTAGGATATGTACTATTTAATAGAGGTAAATTAGAATCTATGTAGTCTATTTTAAAATAAGGAAAATCTACGAAGTCTCTAAAACTTAGATCTTGAGCTTGATATTTTTTATGATGATTGAGAAAGGAAAGAATTGTGGATGAGGTTATTTACTACTTAGCATAGGTAAATTAAAATACAATATATATACAGTCAAAATTGATCTAAAATGAGTTCCAATGATTGATTTTCGTTTTCTTATCTCAATTTGTTATCATAAATTTGCTTCAACAATCATGAAAAAATAAATCTACCATTCAAACCCTCTTCTAAAACATATGAGATTGATATAAAAACATTCTTCAGCATATTGCAAAAATTCAATATCAAATAAAATAAAAATAATGTTGCAAAAAAGTAAAAGAGTAAAAAAAAAATGTACATTCATTAAAAAAAAAACTCTCTCTTAGGGTTTAAAAATCAAATCTCCAAGGTTTCTCTCAAGAAAAGTCCTTCCAATTTTCTAACATTGATTCTCATAATCTTTGCACATTTGGGGATTAGAAAAATTATTATTTTTTATATATTATGCAATTTTGTTATGGTGTTCTAGGTGCAAAAAAAAAAAGTGTAATCCCTAACTCTTTATAAAAATTCTTAAACTGCCCTCCATGATCAATATTAATTATAGAGTTCAAATATCCAAATTTTTTTAAATCAAATTACAAAATTTCTAGACTTCTAGAAGGAATTACTTATATACATAAAGAACTTTACTCATAATATATGGATAACCAATACTCTAAACTCTACATGGTAGTTAATAAAGATGCAATGATGCTATAATATATAGTCCTATAAGTGCTCATATGTCTTATATAAGTGCACATATAATATATATGTTTATGTGAACAATATGAATAACATATGCTGGTTGGAAAGGAATTCATGAATGTTCTAAACTTCTTCTAACCATAAGTAAATGCAATATGTGATGCATATCTATATGATGTATGTATGTGAGGTGTAATACTACTGGAAGGTATTAATATTTCTAATTCATCTCTATGATCTTGATTAGTAGTAGTGTGTGACCTTATCCTAACATGAAATTATAATTTTTTATATCAAATTATTTTCATTTACAAATTCTATGCACAATGATCTCTTATCGTCTAAGTCATTTTTAGCCTATTCTAACTCATCTAGAAATATGCTATGTTTTTTTTTTTTCAAAACATGTAAAGTTCTTTTTCAAAGAAGAATGATTCTTCTAGGAAATCGTAAACTTGTATGCAATTTTGTAGGTAGTGAAAGTAATTCATCAAAAGGAAGATTATATAGCTATTCTAATTCAGAATCTCCTAATCCATCTTGAGCCACCAAACAAAAGGTATTAACTTCCTCCTTAGGTATACAAGTAAATGATTATATCTTAAGCTTCGTCTGGGACAGCTTTCTTACTGGTTCCTAAAATAACTTTCCAGTACAAAATATTTAATTTTTGTACTAAAAAGCTTCTTTAAGAAGCAGTAAAAAAGTCATCCCAAACAATACCTTAGAATTGATCTAGATAGCTTGGTCTTACTTTTGGAATTTTTAAAATAGCATTTTTCATTTGATTTCTCCTTCTGAGCCGAGCTTTTTAAGTTCAAATACCCTCACTTAGTATGCCTTGATTTTCATTTTTCCAAAAAATGTTATAGTGTTAAACTTTGAGCTTGATTTATACTCCTCATAACCATTCTTTCTATCATTGATTTATTATTCTTTATATTTTTAAGGAAATAATTGAATTTTCTTATCAATAAAATCACATCATCATTACCAAAACTATCCATCATGCTATTGCTAAATTCATTCACATTCAAGGCAATCTACTTTTTCTTATTACTTTCAATGTGTCAATTGCTCTTAGGCTAAATTTTTGTTCATGAGCTATAAGAGAGCCAATTAAAAAGGTTAATAGAATATATAGACAATTAGATTGAGAGATAGTTATGATCTTTGCATCCCAAGACTAATAGACACCCAAAAATTTTATTTACCTTTTTGTATTAAAATATTTATTACCAAGAACGTATAATAATGTAACAATTTATATAAATCTAGTACACATATCAATAATTACTTCATTAGAATGCATATAAAATAGTTCACAATCATACATAAGAATATTAATATGGGATAGCATGTTATGTAATGCATAATTTATCTCATATTTCTTTTCTGTAAATACATATAGAGACATATATTTAGATAATAGATTTTAAAGTACAAGAAAAAAAAAATGTTTAGACAATTAGAATTCAGATGTGCCAGCTCTCTCTCCAATTGTTCTCATTCCTTAAAAGATATATTTATCTGCTTATTAATTTTCAAATTCATGAAGTGCATATCCTATTTGAACTAATTTCCATATGCAAAAATTAATAGGTTATATGAATTTTGCCATGCGAACTTTTTAAAAAGCAAAGGGAATATTTTCAAGCAATGGTGAATAGATACTTAAATACCTTTACATTGTGCTTCTATTGAGTGAATGTACTATGTAGATCCATTTTAGATGATAAAACCTATCAATAAGAATCTCACTCTGATATCAATAGAAATATACGACATAAC